TTTCGTAACAGTTACCATTTTAAAAGGTGAAGTGCTGAGAGTTAAGGGAATGGAATTTTTCAACACTTGTGATTAATTTTCCCAGAAGTGCACGAATTCGCGGCAGCGTCGTGCAAAGCGACAGCGGCGTCGGGAGGAGACGAAGGCGGTAGAGGCAGCGCAGCCAGTGATTTCGCTCTTGGATGATGTTACAAATGCAATAAATCGCATGGAAAAAGAGCGTAAACTGAAGGAAGGCGTACCAGATGATTGCGAGAATGCCACCATGCTATCGTTCACAGATACCATTGGAAACGATCGCGACATGGAATCCGTTACTGTCAAAGGTGATTTTGATACCTGGAATGCTTGAAACTGCTGTTATTCATAATGCAGTTTCTCGCTTATGCAAATGGCTATTTTTCTAATTGATTTCACCAGTGAAAGATCACTTGGTGGCCAGTCTGCTGACGATCGTTACTTCCATTTCTTCTCAAGAATTTACGAGCTCAACGGTTCCAACAGAAGCATTAGGGAAGCCTTTAGCAGTTTCGAAATATCTTTCATCTTTGTTGAGCATAACCACTTTTTCGATCGTTGCTACTTCGACCTCGATGAGATACCTTATCGCTAAAAAAATATCATTTTTAATATTTCGATTTTCAACTTTTTTTTATAATTTCTCGATTTTTGTTGTCTGTGATTTTGCAGAGGAAATACCACCACCACATCAAGCAGATTCATCGCTAAGAGACAGCCCGCAAGGCGTTTCAGAATCAGCTGATGTTGCTTCGGCAACTAACAGTGCCCTAAAGAAAAGCTCCACAAAGTCGGGCACGGCTGTCACGAAAAAATCAATGTCGTCGCACTGTCACCAGCAGATTACTAGCGCCAGTCTCCAGTCGACAGCTGTGACTGTAACATCACCACCTCGTTTCGTCGCAGAAGCAGCTTGTGATAAAACATTTTTCGTGGGGACACCGAAGCGTATATCAAAGCAGCGAAATTTGGAAATTCGTTGTGTGAGTGGTGCTGGCAAAGTAAGCCCTTTGAATTACTGTGAGATTTGTTTAAAGATAAACGGGTTCGCTCGGCACATTTATTTATGGCATTGCAGGATATCGTGAAAGGATGTAATCAGGAGCCAGCGGTGTTTGGGGCAGATTTCTCGAAATCAGATGCTATTAAGAAGCAGTTGTTGAAGGCTAAAACGGGAGATGTAAGCTTACTCTTTCCCAAGCTTCTCAACCTGAACGATCTGGAACACGGGGAAAATATGCTTTTTTTTTGCGAATTTTCGTTAAGAACTTATCTTTGCTAGCGATTCCCACTCACTGGTTTTTAAAGAGGAAAATAATTATAAGGAATCCTGACAAAGTTATATCATAAATGAGAGAGCACTGCGCCAAGCAGGGTGGTTACGAACATTGGATGCGCAAGCGAGGGAATAAGCGAGCGAGCAAACTGGAGCTTATCTCCGGATTTTAATCGAAATCAGTGGGAGTATGTTTGAGAGTTCAGTGACCTAGAAACTCATGAAGACTTATACGCCACTTTTACTAAAGGTGGCTGCAAATGAAGT